TCAGGGTTCAGGGGTTTAGGGCTGAGGGTTTTCAGGTTTTAGGGTTTAGGGTTTAGTAGTTTAGAGTTTAGGGTTTTAGGGTTTAGTAATTTAGAGTTTAGGGTTTTAGGTTTTAGGGTTTAGTAATTTAGAGTTTTAGGGTTTAGGGTTTGGGGCTCTCGTTAGGAGGAGTTAACTTTATTTACCCTAAGAGGAAGCAGGGTAATGACTTCTGTTTTATGGTGGATCAGTGCCAGCTCGTTGCAACCCTTGTGCAACCCCTGCAAGGCCTTAACCCCTAAATCTAAAGCCTGCTTTAACTTGCATGATCTATGTGTTTGAAGATGGCACTGCGTGAGCACTTGGGCCATCAGGGAAGTCAAGCCTCAACCCTAAGTAGGGTTTAGGGCCTGGGCCCCAGATCCAAAAAGGCCCGAAACCCCTAAACCCCTAAACCCTGGATTGTTATGAATGTCTAAACCCTAAACCCTGAATCCTAGGATCCCCTTCACCGAAACCCCAGACCCCAAATTCCAAACCTTAAACCTTACTCTGGCTACCCTTTTATAGAACCCTGGAGCATCCTTTTAGTGAGCCCTACTAAAAAGACCCCTATACTACCCTCAAAGGGAACCCGATTCTAGAACCCCTCGAGTAGCCTTAAAGGGCCGCCGTCGACCTGTCTTCTCCCAGGAAGCCAGGGGAGGGCACGGAGAGTGCCCTGCCGAAGAGACAGGGTGGGTCGGGGGTTCTGTTTCCTGGATCTTCCGGTTTTGGGTTTGGACGTGGTCTAGGGTTTAGGGTTTGGGAGTTAGGGTTTGGGGTTTAGGGTTTGCAGGCTTGAGGGCTGCATGTTTTGGGTCTGGAGCTTTCTTCCTGCTTACTACTGGTACGCCGCTGCTTGGCCTGGCCGTATTGGTTTAGTTTGAGGTGGGGTTTTGTAGATTAGGATACGAGAAATTCGTGATTTAGGCTCGAGGAGTGTGGGCATCTTCAGGCCAATCCCGGGTAAAAGTGACTGCGTTGTGTTATGATGCTATATATGATAGATGATAGATTATAGGTTACAGTTATAGCTTATAGGTTATATACTAGAATCTACCAAGATTATAGGTAGAGACCCTAAACCCTAAACCCTCTATAGGTTGTACTTAGGAGGGAGATCGCTTACTGCTCAAATCCAAGGCCCGGAATCCGCAGCATGCTAGACAGTTTCATCTTCCACCCTCAAAAAGCAATTCTCCACAGCAGGGTTTAAGGCAGTTTAAGGTTTAGGATTTAGGGCCCACATTGGGACCTTTCAAAGCGAATTTGCTGCAGAAAGAACCCCGATGTTGGCATAGACCAGACCACAGCACAGAGGTCGAATCCCCCCAGGTTTCCGACCCTAAACCCTAAACCCTAAATACCCCCAGGTTTCCATATCAAAGAGGCCCTGGAACTTGTAACGCTGAAGCCTCAACCCTTGAGTGACAAACCCCACAACCCTTACGGTAGTTTAAAGCCACAAGGCCCAAAATCTAAAATCAGAAAGCCCGTACCCCTTAAACCCTCACAACCTAGAACACTGTTCCTGAAGTCATGATAAGCCCTATATGCTCTAAGGATAAACTCAAGCAAAGGTACAAAACGTTACAGAACCTGTGTGACGCGTTTCCAGAGCCCTTTGCTACTACGCGCCATTGGGCTCTGTGTTCTGAGGCTCGTTTTGAGAGGCCTGGCTGCCGAGAAGCCGCTGCTGTGCAGACTTGTGCAGGTCGACATTTCGTGCTGCAGGGGTTCAGGGCTTAGTTTTGTTTCAACGAGGTTTTTATGTGATGTGGGACTCAGGGTGATTCAGCGTCTAGTTTGGCAATGTGTAACGCAAGAGTCAGTTTTTTTAACCTTCGTGTTTTTCCGCCCCAGACGTTGGGGTCTGGGGGTAAGATTTTGTGTGCGGGTGGTAAAAGCAGTCCTGGGATCTGTTCCGATGATGACGGTGCAGTAGGGATTGGGGTTTGGGGTCTGGGATTTCGGAACCTGGGAATGAGGGTTCGTAAGTGTTTGGGCTACTCTACTACGACGACGACTACTACTGCTACTACTTCGACCAGTACTACCACTACAACTGCGACGACGACGACGACTACTGCTACTACTACTGCTTCTGCTACTCCTGCCGCCGCCACCGCCGCCGCCACCACCACCACCACCACCACCACCACTACCACCAGTACCACTACCACTACAGCAAAAGCAACAACTACTACTCCTGCTACCGCTGCTACCGCTACAACAACTACTAGTAGCCTTACAGCCACGAGCACCAGCACCAGCACCAGCACCAGCACGTTGAGGCAGGGTTTAGGGTTTAGGGTTAAGGGTTAAGGGTTTAGGGGTTTAGGGGTTTAGGGTTTAGGGTTTAGGGGTTTGGGGAGACCTGAGGTACCGTACATTGTACTGCATAGAGCCAATAAGAGCGATCCGGATGGTTGGATTGGAGTTTATTTTGATACGAGCAACTCTAAATTAGGCGCCCTGGGGTCCCAACAAAATGCGTCACTTTTGTTTTATGGACGGGGACACAAACTCAGAGAACTACCCGTGCACATTAATGCCTTAGTACACAGTTTCAGCGAACTGCGGCGTATGCGTACATTTCTTGGCACACTAAAAATCCTTTGTAGAGCCGAAAGTTAAAACCTTTTGGGGCTTGCGCCCTAAACCCTAAACCCTAAACCGCACATTTTCATTGTTGTGCACGACTGTCGCCAGGCCCATTATGCCCGGGATGTGCAGATGAGAGCCAGGGCGCATGTGTCACCGCCTCCCTTTAGAGTCGAGGCCTTGAAACCTAACTCGGGGAGGTTGGATGTTAGGGTTTAGGGCGTTTAGGGGGTTTAGGGGGTTTAGGGGGTTTAGGGGGTTTAGGGGTTTAGGGGTTTAGGGGTTTAGGGGTTTAGGGGTTTAGGGTTTAGGGTTCAGGGGTCCTCCGTCCGTTCCCCCCCCCCCCCTCCGTGTTGCTCGTAGAGCAGCGAGCCTTGGACGCGAGTGTGCCAAAAGTTGCTCGGAGCCCCGAGCCCTAAACCCTAAACAAACACCGGTTTGGGGTTTAGGGTTTAGGGTTTCTTATCAGCGACAATGTAGTGGAAAAGGCAATGGAAAATGGCATGGACACCTTGAAAGGATATGTGTGCATATTTTTGTGTGTATATATATACACACACATAGATACGTAGAATACAATCGTAGTTGACACATCTGTCTTACAAGTATTCATGGGGGGTTCAAAGAGCGCTCTCCTTGACTTGTTAAGTAAGGCCCTTTGGAGCGATCGGGAGCATCAGATCTCGTTCGTGTCGTCCTCGGCTCAACAGTGAATTCTGTTGGGTTTGAGAGCCTTTGGGGGTTTAGGGTCACATTGGTTTGGGGCTTAAGGGAGCAATTTAGGGATACTCCCCCATGTGGGTGAAACCGTAACGGAGTTGCTGGTCTGCATTACAAAAACCCACTGATGGGATGTCTTTTACGTTTACGCGCCCCTCATATCTCTATGTGCACAGACTGGGCCCTGTTCCTAGAAGGGTTTATACACTGCTTGCAGTTTTATAAAGGGGTTCTGTGAGTCTTACACGGGCATATATATATGTTTATGTATATATATATATATACATATACATATACACACTCATATAATAAGCCCACTGCCATGTCGTCGGCTTCCTCGGACTTACCAAAGGCTGCTGTCTCTTTTACAGGGGGCAAGGATTGCCACCTGGCCTGGCACCGCATCCTCCGCGGCGGCAAGTACCAGGTCATGTGGTCTAGGGTTTAGGGCTTAGGGTTTACACCGCAGATGAATGTTTGCGGAATCGTTGTCGTTTGGCATCTGGCTAAATGACGACGCATTGGAGTTTGGAACAAAGTTGTTCGGAACCCTGGGCCCATCCGGTTGCCAAGTTGGCAAGTGATGACCACTACTACTACTACCACGACCGCTGCTCCTCTATTTGTCATGTGTACTGAGCGAAAACAGTTACTGTGCACGCTTTTCCAGCAGATTTACTGTCGGTAGCATTACCCGCATGAGCTGCGACTAACAATCTGTTGCCTAAACCCTAAATCCTAAACCCTAAACCCCTAAACCCTAAACCCTGGATCATCGCAGACTGTACCTAAGTCTTCATCTGGTTTCCGTTGCTGCCAGCAGCCGCATGCCTTAGCTTTGTAAAGCGTTAAACCACAACACCCAGAGCCGAACACTTAACGTAGTATACAGCATCAGGTATGAGAGTATAGTATGATATACCAAAATCCATGATACGATACTAGCGAGGCCTAGACCACGATCCCACGTAGAAGATCTCTGACAGCATTTCTGCGTGGGAGAAGAGTTCGATCATGGCTGCAATACTTCTTTTTTTTATCCAGTATTGAACACGCGAGCCACCAAGTCCAAGAGTCGGAGAGTCGGGGTCCTAGAAATCAACGAAACGGATCTCAACCCCGCCCCAAACCCTAAACCCGGTACAACCCTAGACCAAACCCGAAACCTTAAACCCTAAACCCGGCTTCTCCCGCGAGGCCCGGAGACTCACTGTCGGTGTAACCAAAGGAAATGCATCCAGTCATCGGCTGAGCCGAGCCCAAAACTCCTACATGATATAAATCCTGCAGTACCCATAATGAGGGGTTTAGGGTTTAGGGTTACCATAATTCCCATAACTTTAGGGTCCTAATAAGGTAAGTACCCATAATGAGACTTCATATACCATGATTCCCATAACTTTAGGGTCCTAATAAGGTAAGTACCCATAATGAGGAATGTACCATAATTCCCAGAACTTTAGGGTCCTAATAAGGTAAGTACCCATAATGAGGAATGCACCATAATTCCCATATTGTAGGGCCCTTATAAGGTAAGTACCCATAATGCGGAATGTACCATAATTCCCACAGTTTAGGGTCCTGATAAGGTAAGTACCCAAAATCATAATGAGGAATGTATCATACTTCCCATAGTTTAGGGTCCTAAGAAGGTAATGCAGGATTTTTACCATCCACAGTACCAGGTCGTGGCTTTGGTGGCATTCGGTCCCAAAGCCGCCAGCTTCCGAGCGCACCCGATAGAATGGCAGCAGCTGCAAGCCCAGGCTGCGGGCGTGCGATTCTATCAGTATGATACTGGGTTCTTGTTAGGGGATTTTGTTTAAGTTACCATAATAAGGAAACCCTATTATTTACGATAGATCCCTACTATGGCAACTTAAATAAAGTGCCAAAACAAGAGCCCAGGAAATCGATGCCGATGCCCATGACGGAGACTACAAGCGGGCTTATGGAGCCGCCATCCAACAGCTCGTGCAAGATACCGGCATTTCTTGCCTCGTCACAGGAGACATTGACTATGTGGGCAGCATGACCACCAATTTTATCACAGAAGTTTGTGAGAAGCACGTGCCGTGGTGTGGGGTAGAGTTGCCACTCTGGCAGCAGGACCGTGAGGAGCTGCTACGAGAAATGTTGTCACCTGAAGTGGACCTGGATATCCGGTACACGTGCGTCAAGTCGCCACATTTCGATGCCTCGTGGATAGGACGGCGATTGGACCAACACGCCGTAGACGAAATGCGAAGCAAAAGCCAAGGTGGATTGGATTTGTCGGGCGAGAACGGCGAATACCATACCATGGTCGTCAATGGGCCCATGTACCGATGTGGCAAGGGTGATGGTCTTGCTTTCGATGCTGTGCAGCCGCATGAACTGGAGCAGCAAAGAGGGCAGCCATCCGATCAACGCTGGTTTGTTTGCGACCTGGAGCGAACGATCCTGCGCCAGCGCTAACACCGGCATTTTGAAAGAAGTCCTGCAAGTTGGGCTCCGAAATTTTCCAGAAGACTTATGATTGGCACATAGCTTGGTCGAAATCCGGCCCCTAAACTCAAAACCCCTAAATTACTAAGCCTCTCGTGGATGGCATTCACGACTGGGAGAAAAGGAAGCTTGCGAGTGATGCCTTGAGTCGGGGAGACCCGGCTACCGAATTTCAGCGTTTGAAAACCAGGCTTCCGTAGTATGTTTAGGGTTTAGGGTTTAGGGTATTGTCGCGCAATAGTAAGACCGTCGGGCTGCAATGCATCAAGCTAGATCTCCGATGAAGCATGCGCAGCCTACAGGCGTCTGCACCAAAACCACTTTTCGGGCTTTCGCGAAATGCGGCCAACACGAGCTTCAGTCGATTCAGGAGGCTTCTGTTTGAGTGACTAGTTGACATCAATGGCCCGTTGCAAAGTAGAGCACCGTGTTTCCACCGCAGCTGGAGTACTCAACCGAGCAGTTGATGCCCGACAGCTTCACCCCCTCGCTGTGCGCCATGGTTTGCATGTGTGAAAACAGGTCTCGACAGCGAGTTCTCAGTGCCACTTCGCATCAGTCCAATGCTTGTCAATGTGGTTTAGATAGAGAGTTGTGAAGTTAATTCTCCCATCGATCCACCGAAATCTTGGATTGCGAGCTCAACGCTTGATTTGCAAGGGGATTGGTGGGCAAGTGCCTGTCTCGGGGGATAGGTGAAGGTCGACCATCGCAGAATGCACAAGCTGAGTGCTCAGGAATCCAACCAAAGAAGCCGTGTGCATTTAAGGTCAGCGGTTTCACAGTTTCACAGGGAGCAACAGGGATCGTTCACGGACTTTCCGTTCTTTTGAACGAAGGTTTGGGCGTGAGGTTTGGGCCTATCTTTTTGCAGCCTCGGTCCGTTTTTTCAGCATTGGGAATCCTACTTGCGAGGACCTGTATGATTATGAGATATTATGAGTTTAGCTTCTTGACGAATGAAGTGGTTTCTGTGCTTTACGACTTAAATGTCTTTGGGGTGTATGGTTTAGGGTTTAGGGTTTGGGGTGTATGGTTCTGTTCAAAGAAGCGAGTCGCATGACAGTGCCGTCAGGGGCATCTTTTGTGCGGAGTAGCAGCTCTCGCCCAGCCTTGGCTGCGAACTGACATGGGTTTGCAGAAAATCAGGGGGTTTAGGGTTTAGGGTGTAGGGGGACCCCGAGAGAGAAATTGGAATAGTAGGATTCCAGAAGGGACTCTTCTCATTAAGAACCCTGCACATGTTTCCCTTGCCACTGGCGCACACTCCTAGGCACCACAACTTGCAGCCACAAAATGTCAGACTGCACGGCTTCCGTGTCTCAGGATGGAACGGTTTACGTGGCTTTCCTGGCGGTCGGCACCTCTTGCGGCTGGTTCGTGAGCAATGGCCCAAGCCTCACCTCTGTTCGCCTTGTGAGGCTTCTTTTCAGGTGAGTAGTTACCGTTATAGGAGCCTTATAGAATGTCTGTATACCTTATAGAAGCCTTATAGAAGCCCTATATACCCTAAATAACTTACGGGCTGGTGATCGGCTTGTAACTGCGAGTTGGCGCCGTGTGCGATGATAGTTTCAGAGCCCTTCGGGTCACTTGCTGCATCTATGCGCCTTCGATCATAGATGTAGAGGTTTTGTTTTTGAGGTGGTAGGCGAGAGTCAGTATGCACACAGTATGAAACCGGCTCTATATGAGTGCACAAGCTGGGTCCCCAAAGAAGATGCGGCGAAGGGAAGCCGACGTAGCTAAAGTCGCATCGGGTGGCTTCCACCTTCTCCATGATGGCTGGTTCCATCGCTGTTCTATGCACAGAAATGGGCCTCTGCATGCTTTTGTTGCTTAAACGTTTAAGTGTTCAAAGCATGAAGTTCTGTGGAGCTGCCTGGGGGATTTTTCACGAATCTTTGACTGTGTTAGGTCTGTTCAACCTCATTGCAAACGAGCCAGATGTGTCTCAAGGAGGCAGGGACGGCGTTGCGCAGAGTCATGCCGGAGCTTCCCAGTCGTGCCTTTTACTGCGACCTTGAGGAAAGATGATTGGGGAAGTCACGCTCGTTGGATCCATCGTGAGCCTTCTTCTGTGCGGTTGCTACTTCCTCTGGATGATAACCTTCGGCAAGCCAGCACGGCGCGGCTTGGCATAGTGCAAGCTACAGTTCAAAGGTGTGGCGTTGAGTTCAAGATTTGCATGGGTTGCTAGGGTCGGAGCAGGCGGTTCAGAGTTGCGATACATGCCAGGCTGAGATTGGAAAGACAAGCTCACTCAGAGTCTCTAGTGACTCTAATGGGTTCAGGGTTGAGGGTTTAGAGCTCACATTCATGTCGCTGTTAACAGTTCCCGAAGACCCGGCACCCTCCAAGTTCTGGTGGAGGAGGGACCGTTGCAGGCCATGCTGTAGTAATCCTGTTGAGCTCGTTTCCGGACTTACAGCTTCACCCTAAACCCTAAGCCCTAAGCCCTAAGCCCCAAAACCCTCAACCGGTTCCAACGAAAGTTGTGATCTGGTCTCCGGAAACTTCACTTTCGAGCATTACCAACAGGAGAACCGGAACTCCATTTTCGGGAATGGAAAGCCACCCTCCCCCAGCTGCTGCTGATACTTCTGCTGCTGCTGCTGCTGCTGCTACTGGTGCTGGTGGTTGTAGTACAGCTGCTGCGGTCGCCCTAAACCCTAAACCCTACATCCTAAACCCTAAACCCTAAATCGACGGCCTGACGTTTTGCTTCTGATCTTTCGGTCTCGTGCTTCCAGGCACAGAGCAACGGTGGAGCTCTGGGCTGATCGTTCTTGGCGTGATCAGTGCTCTTGGCTATAGGAGCCTCAAGAATTAGAATAGGGTTTTAGGGTATAGTATACTATAATTTTAATAAGGAGTCTCCCAGAATAGTATTGAAATGCACAGGGAATTTCAGGGCTTCAGGGGTCATGGATCTCTTACGTAGGGTCTTGGGCTTCAGGTGCAGGTTTGAGGCTTCGGATGCAAGGCTTCTAGCTGTTTAGGGCTTTTGTTAAGTAAAGGAGCCGAGATGTCATTTCGAACTATTCCTTGCGTTGCTTTGGAGTGAAGCTTTGAGCTCAACAAGCAGTAGCCGCAGGAGTGGGAGCGTAGTGGCGGTAGCGGTAGCGGTAGCAGTAGCGGTAGCGGTAGCGGTAGCAGTAGCAGTAGTAGTAGTAGTAGTAGTAGCAGTAGTAGTAGTATCACCTTGCGCCGAACTTGCGCTCGCCCTTGCGCGGCGTCGTGTTTTTA